TAAATGAATTAATTTAATTTATTTGGTAATTTTTTAGAAAAAAAAATATGTTCTCAGATATTTTTTATTAGCAATGGCAACTCTATTTTCTAGTACGTTCTATTATTTATTATTTTTGTTATTTGATTATTTTGTTACAATAATGCAATTAAAATTTATGAATTTTGTATTTAATGAAGTTTATAAAGTGTTTATTAAATTACAAATGCAAATATCAAAAAATGTTTTTGCAACTAAAATTTTACTACTTCCCTTTATATTTATTTATTTGTAAAAGTTTTTAGTTGGAATTTACTTAAAATTGTTATTGCAGTACACCGAAATATTGAAATGATGAATTAAATCAATTTAAATTACAAATTTATAACATATTTTCTAAATTAAATAAATATTTAAATAAAATATTTTACTAATTATTGCTGTTACAATAGAATTAGGATTTTAACAACTTATTTAATATTTCAGTTTACAAATTTATTTCTAATTTTAATTTAATTTAATTTAACCATCCTCATTTAATAATTTAATTTATTTAAATACAAATATTTTTTAAAAATATAAACAAACATTTTGACAATAACTTCTTAATTGTTATTTATTGTCGTTGTTGTTATTAATTATTAACGCGGAATACAGTCCATAAACTTTGAACTGTGTAAACATGCATTTATATTAAGTACTGTATTAAAATTCTTACATTAAATACCGTACAAGTAACTTAACTTACACTATTAACTTACTAATACTATAGTATTAATATAAAAAAATTAAAAAATAATTATAATTGATTAATCCAATTATGCTACAGAAGATTTATGATTTCGTTCTAAAACTTATTATAGTATGTTTAAATTTCTGCTTATCTTATACGAATCACCGAATCACCAGTTTTTGCCTAAGAAAGCTTTAAGCATTTACACTTTATCATACAAACTTAACGACCAGTGAATTAGAAGAGCTATTAGAAAAGCTTGTGTTGCCTTAGTAAGAGTAACCAATTCCAGGTTATTGAAAGGAAATGCACCCATGACATGTCGCTGTACTGTTTCGAAAGTGTGTCTGATCTTACAATTATTTCTGATGTTCTTTACTATTACGTTATGATAGTATAGTTTTTTGTGCTTAAATTGCAAGATACGGATATGAAGGATATATAATACTGATTTTACGCACAATAGTTATATTCAGCTAGCAATGCATTCTGACCTTTAATGATAATAATAACGTCAATAGCTATCTTATAGACAAGTTATTCTCCATTTTGTTAATCGCAGTTGTCCGTTTAGATCAAGCCCTTTAAAAGTCATTTTACTTATTTTTAAGATTTTATTAATTTTAGTAGTATTCCGATGTGTTTATATACCTTGATTTATGACATTAAGCTCAGTATGAATAAAAGTCAGCCTGATTTCTGCAAAACAAAATAAAAAATTGCAACAAAAAAGTGCATTTGTAGAGACTATTTAGTAGATATGGATATTCTCTACATAAATCTGTGTAAAGTTATTTAGACAACATTTAGGTTAGGTTAGGTTAAAATGGCGTTCCAAATAATCTTCTTAGGTCTATTGGCATTGTGTTGCCATAAAAAAATTGGTAAGAAGGATTTAAAAAGTCCCATATTAGCAGACACTTACATACTCTTGTCTAATATTAGGAAATCAATAATAAGACACTTTTTTCTAAAGTGTTGAATATTATATATTAAATTATAACATGTTTACATTATGAACTTTAGCTTTAACTAATTTTGCTAAAGTTAATTCCCAAACGTGAAGCGTTTAAATTGTTACTACCTTTTAATTTAACAGTTACTGTATTCAAGAAAAGGTAATAAACGTAGCTAAATTTCAATGAAAGTCAAACTTTTTTGTACCTATTTTAATATGAGAAAATTATAATCTTTTCAAACAGATGTTAAACATATTTTAGCATACACAAATTGTTATAGTTTACCAAACAAACATGTTAAACTGGTTTAACTCCATGGAGCAAATTATGTGCTTAAACTTGTTGTTAAACATGATAAATCTTATAAAATCGTTAGTGCAAAAATATTCATAAACACGCCCGAAAAAGTGCCAAACAAACTGCACATTGTTTGTTTAGAGTAAATTCTTATCTGCCTACAAAATTTTACAATGTTAGTTATTGAGTATACATTACAAGCGATAAAATTTTGGCAAGTTCAATATATGTTTATTGAAATTTTAATTTTAGAAATGTGTTCATAACAAAAAATAATTTAAATTTCTCATGAAATAAATAATTCAAAAAGTGAATTGTAATTAAGAATTAAGTTCAGCATAATGGATTTTAGGTATGATCGTATTGTTTCTTACAGAGTTGCAAAAAAACAGCATTGAGTCTGGTTGAAACAAATTGGCATCACTTTTAAAATATGTCAAATGTTTTTTTTTTATATATGTTTTTTGTTGTAGTGTGTACAATATGAATTATAAAAATTTAATACACTATAAATAACTTAATTTAAATAAAAGAAATTAAAATGAATAATAGAAGGGCAATGGTAGACATTTTTCATCCTATTGTTTTGATATACTGCAATTTATTATTATTTATGCTCATACGATTTTAACGGATGATTGGAATTTTGCAACATATTTTCAGCGAACTAACAAACAACAACAAACTAATTTTTGAATTTTGTTGCACTGAATCTTAAGACGCAAAGTTTTTGCGAGTAAAGCCCAAGTTGAAAGTTTTTAACTTTCTGTGAGTATATTTTTGTGACTCTGAATGAAAAAAATATAGCTTATAGCTTATATAGAAGAGCTGAGAAATCAATGTTTGTCTTTTATTTTTAACAAAACACAACAGCTGATTGCAACAATGTGAACAAAATAAAAACTCAAAATTAAAGATGTTCAGTCTGTTTAAAACAAAGCTTTTTACAAAGAGTATTGACATAACATATGTTTAGCGAAGATCTAAAAATCTATTTCAAATGACCCTTAGCTTTGGCTACTGGTTTCGACCTCAAAGTCGACTTTCACCACCAAAGTTCGTAATATAAACATGGCATTAAGTTTAATTGTTACCCCAAAGTATCTCCTATGTTTGCAGTACTGAAGGTCCAGAACCCTGTTCATTTCTACTCCATATTTTTTATTCTAATTACTTTAACTAAATAATAGGGTTGGTTTCTTTTGCAATATTACAATTTAAAAAGTTTTTAATAATTTATCTTCAAAATGTTACAATTTAAATAGTTTCAAATAGTTTTAATTTGATTACATTTTTTCAGTACTTTTTCGCTACTACTCTTTGATACTACAAAAAAAAAATTATTATATTTAAACATTTATTTATTTTTTGTGTTCAATAAATATAATGAAATTCAGCAACTAATAGATATCAGGTAACCAATTTATTAATAGACCAAATAACTTCAAACTGCAAAAAAGGCAAACATTAAGTAATTAAAAATTAATTGAACCTCGTAGCTTCATTAGCAAATGCTTTTTGCATTTTCCATTCCAAACGAGTTGAAGCGAATTTAAAAACTTTTCATTTACTTTTTTTAACCTTTAATATTTAAAAGAGCATTTTTATTGCAATTTAATTATATTAATTAAGCATGTTGTGAAATAACATTAATTTCCTGTTTCACAAAACCCAAAGCAAAAACTTTTATGCAGCCAATTAAATCGTTTTTAATGACGTTTCTACTTCGCAGTCGTCCGTGCCATTATTATTTTTTCTTTTTTCTTAAAATCAATTAAAATTGCTAAACGTTCTGAATAAATATGAACAAATGTAAATGCTCAATAAAAGTGAAAGCATATAAAAATAGTCATCACTCACAGGATGAAAAACTTAACTGTAAAGAAAAAAAATATATTCAGTGAAAAAAAAAATATTTCCAATCAAAAGTTAAGCATATTTTATCTATGAGTACTTGAGCGAGTCAATAAAGCAATTAAGCTGAGCACGTACATTTACGATATATCAAGTAGCAGTGGCGCACACAAGCACAAACACATGCACACACATGCCAAGCATAAATGAAAGCTTAGAAGCGCACACATGTGCGAGGATGGAAATTTTTGCCAAGAGATATGGCAATTTTCAATTTCAAAGAATCAGAAGATGTTAACGCCCAAATTTGTTTCGTTTCATTTGGATGTTGTTGTTGTTGTTGTCGTTGTAGATGTTTTTTGTTTTTGCTTCTTTCAATTTCACTTACTGTCATTTTTTTGTACTCTTTGTTGTTGTTGTTTTGTTGTTGTTTTAGGTTGCCTGCACCAAGTTGGCTTGAAGCAAAACTTACGACATAAATTTATGACATTCAAATTGAGTTAACAGAAGTGGCGAAGTGTATGAGGCTGTGTAGAAGCTTGATGAACCATATAGCAAGGGCACTCAATGTGGGCGGGCATCGGCTCTTATGGTTGTCAGTTGGTGTGTACTGTTGGTAATGGCATTGCTGATTCTAAATACTCATACTGCAGTTAGTACGACTCATACTGTAGTCAGTGCTATATGCAGCATTTGTTAAACAAATGTTGTGGATTTGTTTACCAAACTAGCAACAGATATGATGACGATTAAATATTATTGCTCACACATACGCATAAATGTTTGTATGCAGCTCTTCTATCAATGTAGTATACGAGTATATACACTGTACACTGTAAAGTGTACACTCATAGTGTGCAGTTTTTATATTGAGTTCGATATGTTGAAATGGAATTGTGCGAAAATGAAAATAAAAACTAAATTAACTTTTCACAAAATGAAAAAAGAAATTGAAAACGGGAACAAAAAATGATTGGGTTTTTCCTGTTAGGTTGTTAGGTTTATAGGCAAACTTCCATATTTGCTCAGTGAAATATGTGAATAATTTTCAGTTTCTAACTAACGAAGAAAACAGCTTGATGATGATGAAAAAAAAATATTTGTAAAAATATTGGTAGAAACTATTATCACTTGTTTGTCGACTAATCGAAAGGATTGGAAGTAGTTGAATTCATTCGAAATATTTTGAACTAATAATTCTTGTTTCTACGTATCATACAAATTATGTTTTCGGATTATGATTATTGTTTCTAATTTCAGATTAAGATATTTGCAAAGAAAATAACTTATGTATTTTTTATTTGAACATATTAACCTCGATAAAGATTAATACGAAAATGCCTCAAACAAAAAAAGAAAATGTAAATCTTGAATTAATCTAAAGCTGAAGTGTTTAATCTATGACATTATAAACTTAAATATATACAGATTTTTAAAATAGTGTTAAGTTACCCTAGGTTATACCGGCGATCTTAAGGATCCACTTAGGTCTATTGGCACATTGTGTTATAGTATCGTAAGACACTTAGATAATTAAAAATAACCTTAAACCTTTGGCAAAGCTCAAAGGAGTTATACCTAAACCGATTTTTGAGTTCACAAACGTAAATATATTCGAAATTTAAAAGTGAGTTTCTGTGTTATGGCTTTTAAAATTTTTGAAATATTCTCTTAGCTAGCACTCTTTCTAGGAAAATTTGTTTGGAAAATGGAGAGCACTCTTTATTACATCACACTTTATAATTGTATGTTCAAATGTATATATTATACATATATGCAGAATATTTTTATGATAAATATGTGTTGTACAATAGCATATCATTTTCTTAACGTTATTTAGCTTTTGTCAGCATGAGATAGCTTCATTATTTGCAAAAGGGTTTTATCATAATTTTACATAGCTGAAATTTATGATTTAGTGTATATTGTTTTAGTTTAAAATTAAAGACGTTGATAGTCCATTATGAATTTTGTTCCATCGTTGATTGTTATCAACAAACCTTCACCATATCCCAATTTTTCAACACAAATGACATGAAGATAATTATATTTGTAGTTGGATACTGAAGTGTAGTGCTTCGGAGTTTTTTTCTATTCGACAATATAATAAGTGTGATTTTCAAAGAATTATGCATTTCTATTTCATAAATTATGATTATCTTTTTTTTGTTATTTATATGAAAGCAATTTTTGAACCTGTTATAGAATTATCTTCCTATGATAATTAATTACTTACTTACTTAAATGACAAGATCAATCCATTACTGGGTTTCGAAATAACGCAGCACTGCTCTGAAGGCACCTCTGCTGCGTGTGGGCCTTATCCAGTCTTGTATATCAATTGCGATTTGTGTTTCTTCAAATTAATCATTCCACCGAAAACGCGGTCTACCTCTACACCTTTTTCCTCTAGCTACTGCTTAAAATACCTATTTCGTTGGAGCATCGTCATCCATTTTTACGGCATGACCAAACCAGAGAAGCAGCTGCATATTAATTCGCTGAACTATGTATATCAATGTCGTCAGAAAGCATAACATAATAATATCTATTGTGGAGTTAATATGTTAGATAATTTTGTATTTAGTTATTCTTTCATAAATGACTACAGACTATTATTGCTTATTTTATTGGCTTACTAATAGCCATAAATTTATAACAATATTTTAATAAAAGAGAATTTTACGTTTTAAAAATAATTTTTTATTTGTTTCATACTAGTAAATGTTTTTCTTCTGTTTTTGTTAATGTTTGTTTAATGTCTCTGTTGACACTTTGGCACGACGCAAAAATAAAAAAAAAATAAACTAAGTAAATATTTATTTTTTCACAAGCTTGCAAATGTTGCCAATATTTAACACACAAATCATTGATCATACGTGTCTGTCCCTTTTATTTTGGTATTGCACCAAAATATCCCAAATCTTAAGGATTTCTTTTTGTGTATTTGTGCGTATAAAATTTCCTGCTACAAAATTGGCAACCCAGAAAATTATTCTTTACATCAAAATATTTCATATCGTTTACACACAACGCCACAACGTCACAACGCCACTGCTTACAAAACAGCAACAAAGAACGAATTATTTTACTACTTATTCAAGTGTGTTTATGTTGCTCGTGCATTGAGTCATGCTGAGTCATCATAAATGCGACGCCTCTAAACGAGCATAACCGACCCCTGAAAGAACAGCAACGAGAAACGAGAAAATTCGACTACATTTGAAGCACTGAGTAGCATTAAAATATCCACGAAAAAAATAAACAAAAAAAAATATCGAAACTTATTTTTATACTACTGAAAAAAAAAAAAGAAAAAAAATTACCACAACAAATCATACTCATAAGTCAAGTAATGGTGCAGAGCTGCTTGTGCCTCTTTACTGTTCTTGTTGGTGTTGTTGACGCTGTTGTTGTTGTTTTTATTTTCATTGGTGTTGCTCGCTTATTGTATGCCATTTTGTTATGCTTGTCTGCTTTTTACATGAACAGCATATTTTAGCAAAACTTTTTTTTGTTTTTACAACTACCATATTCTTAAATTTCGTTTTTTGTTTTTGTTTTTTTTTCTTCTTTTTTTTTGTATATATATTTTTTTTTTGCTTTTCTATTTATGGTTTTATATGTTGCGGCATGCAACGTAGCATTAAATTTTCGTTTGCATACTTTTGGCGTTACTTATTCGTATTCGCAGTTGTTGTTGTTTGTGTTAGTGTCAGTGTTCGTTGTAGTAGAGGAAGAGAGAGCATTTTACTGCAATTTTAGTAGGAGCCAAGCATTAGTTCGCAATAAATTAAAATGTCATAAATTTTAGTTAATTACGGTCTAACAAACATTATCATAATTATATTATGCCAGCAGTAAATTCTATGAATACGAACTTACATTATGTTTATATGTATGAAAAGATTTTAGTTAAGTGATACCATGAAATGATAACAAAAAACAAGAACAAGAACAAAAAAAAAATACAACAATCATAAATTATTTTATTTAGTGCGCACGAATCATAGATTATATTTAAAGGATTTACCAATTTTCATAAATTAGTGATCTGGAATCGGTGTTCTTTGTTTAAGTGTTTTCTAATAAATAATGGAAAATGGAATTGTAATAAAAAAAAATTTGGACATAAATTTGTTTTTGAGCTTATAAGGATAAAAGAAGATAAACGCAAAAGAAAAGATACTGAATAAGGATTCTTTTTAGTTCATACAACATACAATACAATTTTTTTATTTTTGGCTAGATGGAATAAATATAAATATAAACAAGATAGAACCTTTATCTATCTATCTAGCTGTACGATAGAGGAGTTCATTAGCTATATAACTCAAATTTAAAAGTTTCAAAGCAATCTATGATCTATGATCGAAAAAATCATTTGGTTAAATTAGTTTAAATGCACCATTTTTTTTTTCGATAGATGAAATAAATATAAATATAAACAAGATAGAACCTTTATCTATCTATCTATCTAGCTGTACGATAGAGGAGTTCATTATCTATACCATATAACTCAAATTAAAAAGCTTCAAAGAAATCTATGATCTATGATCGAAAAAATTATTTCATTAAATCAGTTTAAATGTAGAAAACAATATTTCTAATGGCGCTTGATGAATTCTGCAGATAAAAATTCATATATATGACACCTCTGCTTTTTTATTTTTTGTTTATTTTTAAGCTATTTGAGTTAAGAAAGGATGAGTTAAGTATGTGGAATCTTCAAAAGATACTGATAGCCGTGCTACCAGTATGCACGATTCGCAATCAAGTTTTACTCTTTGGTTTGATTTGTGCCTACGTACTAAACCCGATCCATACATCACTCGGGAACCACATTTAAGTATTACATCGGAGGGTGGTTATTTAGAGATTGCTTGCATCTAGTTCTGCTAATCTAGCTCTTTCTACTGCTTTTTGTTTTCTATGATTTCTTTCGTAAATATCAGGTTCCAGTTTTCTGTTGACATCAACATAAGGTGGATACTGTTGTCAGGTCTAACCTGTTCTCTGGCTGCTCTTACCAAAGAGCTGCAATGGTTCTCGTATCTCGGACATTTGAATTAGATACACTGGGCACTCTGGTTGCTTGTGTGAATGTGTATGTGTGTAGAAAAGCAAAAGGGACATTTTAAGAAGTTATTTAATATATATTTTCGTATTCACAAATTACATATAAATTTTTTCTTTTCAACAACATCAAAGCATAAGTAAAATTTCAATTCACTAAATGCAGTAAACTGTACGAAAACTGTTATAAAAACTAGTGTTAATCCTCAATAATTATTATCCATTACTTCTTATTACTATTAATACTATTAGAACCGACTCCTGTTGTATTTATTTGTACTTACAGCAAAATTGCTTCATTATAAAATAATTTCGTGTACCAAAAAAACCTTTTTTATACATATTCCATCACATTTTCATTTGTTTTGTACTTAAAGCCTTAATATACTTGTGTTTAATTAAAATAAAAATTTACGATGATAAACTTGGCATACTACTTCACACTTTTTACGATTCACTTTAAGTTTATCAAAATGCCATTTAACTTTGTCTTACTTTATGAAATGATTGTAGTTATTATGATTTTTCATGATTTTTAAATTCGATTTTATAACTGAAAATGAATTTTCTTTTCCATTTATCTGTCGTAAATGTATGCATCAACTTTTGATTGATCATCCCACTTTTTACGTTTTGAAATCTTTAATTTATGGCATATAACTTTTATGTTATGTGTAAAATATTTGATATATACAAAGCCGTATATTGTATAAATTGTATGAAAATGATATATAAATTCGCGTTGAAAAGCTTGAAGCTTGGCAATAAAATGCGAATGCATGCAGACATCCATAAACGTGAGTAAAATGCAATAAATCCCATAAAATATTGAATAAAAAATTTCACAAAAATACCAAAAAATAAATCTAGAAGTAGAGAACTGCAAAATTTGGGTAACAAGAAGTGAGTCATCTGCTATAACATTTGTTGTATAAAATAACAAAAAAAAAAAAAAATATTACAAAAAAATACAAAATACTATGTTATCACAAAAACTTAAAAAAAATTTAACAAAAATGCATATAAATAAATAAAAATGTTGAAAATAGAAGCCAAAATTGACGCATATGTAACAAAGTTCGTTACAAATTTTTTAAATTTAAACATTTTTAAAAAAATAAAACAAAATACAAAAATAGTAAAAAATCAACAAAAGAAATAATGACAAAAAAGCAAAGCAACTGAAGCAGTGCAATCAATTGTAAAAAAACTTAATCGTACTAAAATCCCTTACACATTTATGTGAACACATCTCCGACTTAATACAATACACATATACAGGGTATATGCGCTTTTAGCAAACTCACAATATTTCAATGAAATTGTTTGCCTTTAACTACGTACACTGCAAATGATAGCAGTGTTGCAAAGTTAAATAAAAAGATGCAATGAATGCGTGTGCCATAAAATCACTATTCATACACTTAAATAATTGCATAATAGCAAACGAGACAGAGAGGGGTGTAAGTGTGGCAAGGTTTTTGAAATTAGAACTTTGCCGCCTTTAGGGGTTTTACTGTGCGGCGAATTGTACACTGTAAAGAGGCAAGAACATAGCAACATTCATGATAATTAAATGACAAAAGCGTGCACACATCATGCAAATGCGTTGACATACAAAATTGCATTAGTGTGGCTGACGGAGTGACGGAGGCATAGGTGTCCAGTGTGGTAGTCGTAATGAAGTACTAGTGGTGCATACAATGCAGTTAAAACTAAAGTCAGTTTAAGATAGTCGGTATTTAATTTTGATCCAAGATCCTTAAAATACTGTTAACTATTTTTGTAATAAGTTTTGTTAAATGACGGGTTTTGACAAATAATTTCTTTACTTGCCTTTAGTGCCTCTGAAGATCAATTAACACGGAATTAGGTAACTTGCTTACTTAATTAGTAAGTTAGTCAGTTTTAGCTGCAACCAGTAGCCTCCTTTAGACTGCCCGATGAGTAACTTGCTGTCTCTAATCGTTAGTTCCACTGCATTTATATCATTAGTCACATGGTTCTTCTACGAAAGAAGCAGACATCTACAGCGGGTACCAATTCAAACACTTATCTAGCCATTGTAGTTTCTTATATTCGCACAACATAATTAAGCCAGTGAAATCGGTAAATTTTTGGGCACCTGGTGCTTGCACCGAAGATGCGGATGTTCTCTACCGCATTTCCACGTTTCTAGTCGAACCACTTCTTCCATTCGTAAGGCATTAATTTTTGTGCTATTAATTATTTTTTTTTTTTGCGTTAGGTAGAAAGTATCGAAAGTCACAGTGTGAGACTTGAAACTAAAACCAAATCTTAGTAAACAACGGAGAAGATTTCCACAGCAATATGGAAACTTTATTTCACTAATCAAGGGAGAGAGATGTGAGCAGATAGTTTTAATAGCTAGCAGACTAGGTTTATCTAACTATCGTCAATGTCGCGAAAAAGCTCGTTTAGCTCATCATTCCTTTTAATTAGATACTCGTTGCCAACGATGGCAAAAGTGATTCTTCATTGAATCTCTAGGCTGATGTCATATTTGATGGTTACACAGATTCGCAAAACAACAAGTATCATGGTTTTCATGAGAGAGTACCAATATAATCTAGTTGAATATATAGGCTCGCATAACAAAGGGAAATTTTAATTAACAGAAGTTATTTATAAACTTTTGCTAGTCTCATAACCTCAGCAATACCATATGTATTATTTTATGCTATACTTTCTGTTAATTTCTGTTCCTGTTAGTTTTCTGTTAGTAAAATGTTCAAAAATTTATTATAAAAACTTAGTTTATTATTCTTAGATGTTATTAAAATTATTATTTTAAAATATTTACTATTTTTTATTAGAGATCATTAAAAACTTGTGAAGTTATATGAAGACAGCAATTTAATTGCCTGCATTAGTATGAATATCATTATTTATTAAGCAATCAAAATACTAAATGAGGCTTCAACCCACTAAAATTACTCCGATGGCCTACGATTAGCCCTCTTGGGATCCAGGATTGAGATTTCATTCTATGTGTTTTCATATGTCATCTTTTCAATTGTGTTAGTAAAATTAGTAATTGATTGGAATCATCATTTCTTTATAGAAAATAGCATCTACCGTTTGCATATAATCTTACTGAATAGTAATGATATTACTTTTTCTGTTTTTTCTGTTATTTATGCAGCAACACTTTTTATACAAATTTGTGTCCTTAAAAAGTTCGTCACGTTGCTCATCATATAGTGGCATTCATACAGAGAGTTCAAGGAAACATCACACGCTCGTGTATTGCATAATTCCATTTATAAATGAAAAAATGAAAGTAATAAATGAAATAATCTCATATAAACAGAAATGATATAACAAAATCTTAACAATTGTTTTTCAATGCATTTTTAATGACTCAACAGACACAACTGGACAGACGGAATATGACAGATTTTTTATCTTACAACAGAAACACATTCACACTTGTTTATTAGTGTATGACTTTTTTCCTATGTATTTGTGCAATCGAGAAAATCACTCGAAAATGTTGAAAATGTGTGGAAATGTCGCATGTCCTTCCTCGATGAGTGCAAATGACTTCAGGCATATTGTTGTGAGGTTTGTGAAGGGTATGAGTCTGTATAATGCACAGCGGAACAAAAGCACGAAATGGGCAAGAGGTAGAAACTACTAGTAACCAGAATGCTAGGTGGAAGAAGATGTGTCATGCTACATGCAGTGGTTGTGTAGAAGTGCATATTTGGTGCTCGACTCACTAGAAGCTTCCAACAATTTCTCATAAGTGCATGAATTGTTCGATTTTTAAGTGTTCAACAGGATATTGACTTTTGTCAACGAGGACAACTACAATGACGACAATGATGTTTGGTGTCACTGCTGTTGATGTTTGTGATATTGTTGATGTTTCTCAGTGTATATGTGTTAGCTCTAAGCGAAAATGACGGCAATGACGACAAAATACATTAGTTGGCGACAGAAAACACATAACGTTTACATTCCCCGTCATACACAATCATTTCCCGGAACAGTTTTCATGCACAAATATGCACAAATATTGGCTTGAGGATATCCTCCCCATTTTTTGTTTTTTGAAATTTTCGTCCTGTTCGTATATCTGCACTTAATACTTACACTTTGCTTACAGTGGTAAGGACATATGTGTAATTATGATTATCACAGTTCCATACTTAATAATCTCAGGGCTGAAAGAATGATTTGAAGTTAGGAAGTTTTTCGAAAGAATTTGAATTTATTTAAATTTTTTTAACAGAAATAGAAAACTTTCAAACAAATAAATTTGATTTAATTAAGATACTTTATTACTATTTTAGTTTTGTATTATATAAAATTGCCCACTGTATGACTTGGTTTGTCTTGTGAAATATTGTCAATGTAAAATCTGAACAAAAATATTCAAAGGAACTTAATTACATTAAAATGACAAGGAACTCTGCAGTAAACAAATTTTAACTTAATTACAGCATAAATTTAAGCAAATACGAGTAACAGAAACTGAAGGGAAGGAAAGCGAAGAGAAGGAACCAGCAGAGTGCAAATTTGTAGTCGATGTTTTGCTTTTGTTTTTATATCTTTGCTCTTTGGAAAATAAATTAAGTGCAATTTACTATGGGCGTGGCAGAAGAGGGTGTTGATTAAAAGTTTATTTAGCGCAACGATTATCGTTTTAACTGAAATTTGCAAGCGCAATGTAAAGTAAAGTAAAGTAAAGAATAATATATATTTTTTAATTATCTTCGAGATA